CAATGAGATGGATTGACACAGTGGCTGCAACAATGGGCTCAAGCATAACAACGATTGTGAGGATGGCGCAGGACCGGGCAGTGTTTCGTTCTGTTACACACAGGGTCGCTGTGAGTTGGAGCTGACTCAATGGCACCTAACAACAACAACAAAAACAACAAACTTACTGGAGTCCCCCAAACTAACACACATCTAAATCGCTGGAGCAATTAGAAATTTGGTTTCAAGATGCATTTCAGCTTCAAGTTCTCTTAAAGAAAAAAAAAAAAAAAAAAGCACATATCCACATAGATTTTCAAACTCTGCTATTCTGTGCCCACTGAGGTTTCCTGTGATCCTTCAGCCAAAGAACCAACACAAGCAACAATGAACAATTTTTAAAGAGCTGTCTGGCTGAGAAGGCCTAAGTGCTGTCCTGGGAGACTAGAAGCTTGAGGACAGGGCAGGTAAAGGCAAGCCAGCACCGAAGCAAGTGACTGGAGGCACCCTGCCACCCGTGGCACTTCAGAGAAGTGTGGGCTTCTCAGGTTTCCAAAAACTGTCGGGGTGGGAGTTACCGCCCTTACACTCACTCAGGGTTAAACTCACCCTTTAATGCAGCTGTGTAAGGAAACGCAGGCTTATCAACGGACATCCCCGAGTGAGCAAGGCCTGAGAGACAGGAGCTGAAGACACAGAGGGCTCAAAGGCAAACATGAGATGAGACCCATCTGACTGGCACCATTACGTCTTTAGGGCTGAAGAATAGGCATCATTGCCGATACCAAGAGGACTATGCCAAGGGCAGGGGAGATGTTTGCTGCCTAGGGAAAAAAATGGATAAGGTCATTTCCTACACGTATTAGCCCTTAATGTGAACTGAGGATAGTAAAACGGCATTGCTACAACAGAAGAACGTTTACTTGTGTACTTCATTCCTACCAGTCAGTCCAGATCTTGGCAGGACCCCAGACAATCTAACCTGCAAAAGTCACCACCAGTCAGCTCAAGTCTTCACCCCAACACAGTCCTCATTAGGCAGACACGTTACAGAAACCATCTTACCACCTTGTCTATTCCGCTGAGAAATCTACTTTTGATAGTTCATCACTCACACCTGCTTACTTTCTACTGAAACCAATCTAGTTCTGCTAAGAATCATTCTTTCTCCCCTTCTCTTTTTTTTTTCTTAAGTAAAATAAAAAGGAACAAACAAAAAAACTTCCAGTCTGTCACCAGGAAGATTAACGCGCTGAGTTACTAGAAAATGTAACAATATTTCTACATCAGTTTGGACTGTAAGGATCTGACATTTGTGATGATTTGATCTGAATAAAAGCCAAGGGGATTATCTCTGAATAATATTAAAAATAACTGTTGGTAGACTTCTTGACAGAGCTGGACTTGGTGAAGGCAGTCCCACAGCCTGGAGTCCTGTGCCGAGCTGGGATGCGTAATGTCCCCTTCTGCAGTTCTTTAATAAGCTGTGCTTTTTGGTTTGGTTTAAGGGTACTTCCTTGAAGAATCTTACAGAAATGTAAGGGTGTCTTTCAAGGACCTTACTAAGGAAATGGCACAAGTTTTCTAAGCATGATACCGATCCACATTTTTGTATTAAAACACTCTCTTTGTTTTTTTAGCTGGAGAGTTTGTCAAATGGAGTTGGAGTCCATTGTGTTTCAAGCCTGCCCCCTTTCTTCCTAAACTCTGGAGACTGCTATATTTCCTTCAGGAATGCTATTTTCAAAGCAGACTAAGAGGGCGTTGCCCTGATAAACACACTTACAAGTTTATATGTAAAACCAGTTTTTTAAATTATAAAAATACATAGCATGAAACAGTCAGGGCTTGAGAAACGGTGCAGGGAGCACAAGTCTGCGACAAGGAGCATACAGCACATGCCAGCTGGTGTGCGGCGTGCTGGGATAACCATTTCCTTCAGGATCGAAAACCAAAAGCAAACCTGTTGCCCTTGAGTCGATTCTGACTCACAGTGACCCTACAGGACAGAGTAGAACTGCCCCACAGGGTTTCCAAGGAGCTGCTGGTGGATTCAAACTGCCGACTTTCTGGTTAGCAGCCATAGCTCTTAACCACTGCACCACCAGGGCTCCACTGAGGGTCAAACAAGGCTAAAAACATTCCCCAAACAATGCCGAATGGTAACTGGAGCTCCAGAAACTGTCCCTTAGGACAGGTCCCTGAGTGGTACAAATGGTTTGCGCTCAGCTGCTAACCAGAAGGTTGGCGGTTCAAATACACCCAGTGGCTCTGGGGAGAAAAGGCCTGGGGATCAAATTCCATGAGGTCACAACCACTGAAAACCCTCTGGAGTGCAGCTCTGCTCTGAAACACATGGGGTCACCATGAGTCGGAACTGACTTGACGGCCACGGGTTTGGTTGTTTTCTTTAACGAAAGAGACGTCAGGTTTTTCTCTCCTGAGTTCTCCGTCTGTGCAGCTTGTACCCCAGATGTTCACTGTGAACATTCCCAGGTGCTGAAGGCAGGAGGGAAACCTACCCAATCACACAAAGAAGGCACCACAGGAGCAGCCCATTTCTGATTCTTCCAGGCAATCCCTAACATCTTTCCACTCTCCCTACCCGCTGGAAACTTCATGGCTCATAAAAGCCTCCATCAGTGTGGGCAAAGGGAAGACAAAACTTAATATCGAGTCCTTTTTGTTTTTCCACATTCTTTAAAAAATCTGGTAGACTGAAATTATAATCCAAATCGAGGTTTTAAAATTTTTTTCTCTTCCATTTTTTATTAGTGAAACACCCTTGCCAAAAAAGTAGAAGTGTCAAAAAGAAAATAAAGAGGAAATTGGTTTACTCACTAGTAAAATGCACAGAAATCAATGACTAAAGGAGGTACAGTAGAGTACCCACCTAGAAATAGCCAGGGCACTGGTTTTAGCAGCAGTGCGGTGTAGCTGCAAGAACGTGGGCTTTGAAGAATGCAGACACCACCAACCTTCTACATTCGTGTGCCAACCACTCCTTCCCTGCCCCAGGTATTTTCAGAAGCGCTGCTATGCCAATTTTTTTATACACTACTGTAAAAAAAATTAGCATAGTGTGCTTACAAAAATAGCTCCTGGGGGAGAGGGAGTGGTTGGCAAACAAACCTAGGTGTGCGTTATTTGCATACAGTACAGTAGATCTGGGTCTGAATCCCCAGTTGTCACTAGCTGTGACCTGGAGTTACCTCCCCTGTAAAGCCAGGCTCATAACACATACTACTGTAAGAGAATGGCATGACGGCGTGTATAAAGGACTACACAGAACTTGGACCGCGACAGGCATTCTAGAAATGCTGGCTGCCCTCCCTCTCGTCTTGCTGCCTGGTATATCAGGGCCAACATATTAGCCTGAGGTGTATACACAGTATCTAGGTTCCTAAGGGTGGTAAGATTCTTTGGGTCCCTACAGACCTCAGCCTCCACCAAAACCTATAAATATTAGAGAGAAGAGGTGATACAAAGACATGCCGCTGGACTTCCATGTAACTCAGTGACAAAACAGAAATAAGAATCCATGACTTTGGACGCTGCCAAAGGAAACGAGGCCAGAATCTAAAGCGGGGGAGACTCCAGGCCCTCATCCGGAGCCAGTATTTAAGCAGCATACGCCTCCCAAATCTGAGCTGACACAAACCCACCCTATTTGTTACACTAACTCTTTTCTCCTTCCTCTAGAAAACAGACAATGAAGCCATTGATTTTGATTATACTGTTCTACTGCATGAATTCCCAACACAGGTAAAACACAAAATCGTACACAGAACTGTTTTTGTGAGAAGTTTCTGCAGATTATAATATTCTGTGACTCTTACTTCCTAGGAGATCATTCCCTGTCGTATTCACTTGGTCTGGTACCCTGGCAAACCACCGAAAGTGAAGTACCGCTGTCAAGAGCTGCAGACACCAGAAGAAGCCTCTGAAACGGAAGGATCTGCTGCAGCACCAACAGACTTCAGTATTGTCTGAAAAGAAAAAAGACCTGCTTATAGCAGATTCTAAACTAAATGACCATACTGAGCAGCCTAAATCATTATTTCAGTAAAATAGCTAAGGTATACAGCATTTTGAGTAACTTCGGAAAGCCTTGATTAGAGGTAAAGTCTCAAAAATTCAACAATGTTGGGTTTTTTGGTTTTTAACTCTGGGAGCATGTGCACACTAAACTCTGCTCAGAGTCACAGGGTCACCCGGAAAGTTCCTCTGAGTTTCTGCCCTAAAATATAAAACTAAGTCAATTAGCAAGTACTGCAACTGGATCAATAGGATTTTTTCTAAAATTGGTCTCATCTCTAAACCTGCATTTCTCATTATTTTAATCACATTGTAGCCAACTGTTTTATTTGCTAAATTGTCTCTTCCTAGCTGTAAATATATTTTTAACGCAAGCAAATTGTAGGGGAAAATATTAACTGTTTAAAAAGAATTTTACTATTTTTATGATTTCAAGCAACCATTCCTTTTTAACATGGTAGCTACTTTTAAATAAATGTTTACATTTCTAAATAATAAAATGTGTTTGTAAAGATTTGCATACAGACAAAATTTTGTGCTGAATTGGAACTGAGTAAAATCTTAATATTGCTTAAATTTTACAAACAGAAATTATACAAAATGTCTCATCAAATAAAGCTGTCTCTACCAACGTGTTAAATGGAACAAAAATGCCACAGTATAGGGAGAGCAATTAGGGTCACATATGTAAATTTTTGTATGAGAGACTAACTTGAATTGTAAACTTTCACTTAAACTACAACAATTAAACAAAAAAAAGAAAAAATGCAATTGAGAGAATATAAAATATTTAAATTTTCATTTCTAAGTACAACACTGGACCTAGTGTTGGCCTAAGTAATTTCTAATGTGTACCATAATCAAATTCAGTGAAGTACCTCCTCAAGGCAAGAAAAATTGATCCAGGAAATGTTGGTTGGCATCGTTTCCCTCTCAAAATTAGTATTATTTATTGGAACACTTAAATGAGTGTCTAACGACCTTCTGCCAGGTTCCTTAGCCAGTAACTGGTTAGAAAGACCAGCTTTAAAATATACCAAAACATTACTTTTAAGTCTGACTGACAGAAAATTAGAAAAGTTTCTACTAAAGAGACAAGTTTTATAGACATGAACTCTGACAAAAGAAAAGACAGACGATAATGTGACTTTTCAGCAGATCTAGTTTCTATTTTTTCTCTATTTAACACCCCAACCTTTTGCTTTCCTCTTCCCAACACCCACTTGATTTAAAGAGCCACCAACTCTGCGGCAGCTAACAATAAAAAAATGAGCATTTTGAAGGAAACCTCGGACGTCCCACCTCAGTGATAATGCAGAGAAAATACTCTTTTCCTAAAATTTCAAAGACCCAATCTACGAAGATTAAATCATGCAAAATCAAGCGATAAACTGCTCTAACCGAAGTTCCCTAAACCGTCCTCAGTAAAGACGCCAAGAGCGTTAAGGGAGCAGCTCCAGGTTGTACGTTCCTCAGCCTTGCAGGAGCACTGTCGGGGCTGGGAGGGGCCGCCACCTGGGAGTGCAGCTTTCCTGCCTCTCAGCTTCCTCAGAGTCCTCATACAAGCATTTTTAAGAAGTGAGATTAGGCCTACAAAATGAGGAAAGACCTCTAAGGTAATTCTTTAACGTGTGTATTCCAGCAAAACAGATTATGAACGGCAACAGACAACATACAAACACAATTTCCTATTTTATAAATTAACAAAAGCCGCAAAAGTTAAACCAACTACAAATTTCTCAATAATATCACTATTAGAATATCATTTCTAGCACAAATTCTAAAATTGCTAACTTGATTTCATTAACACTGATTTAACTAGCTAACAACAGAGAAAAGCTACCTCATCTGCCTTGACACACAAGAAAAACCTCAGTTCCCTAACCCCTCTTTTCACAAAGTCTAAATCAGTCTGAGCCGCTGACATTTACTTCTAACCAACGTTCAGAATTTAAAGACATCAGAATAATACTAGGATTTTTGTTTGCATTCCATTTGATTCTACTCAGAGTTTCATTTTTCTTTACCTGAATTATGAATTGTTAGACGTCAAAAAAGTTCTTTTGAAAGTCAGTTGGAAGCTTCTATAGTTGGCACTTGAATAATGTTCTCATGACACATGAATTTATTTTACCAATTTCTCTCAGCGTAGCACATTCTATGACCTATTCTGTGACCGTTCCTAGCTTAGAAAGTGCTGGGACCATATAGAAGGAGGTTGCTTGGCACTTATTGGAATGGATAAATGAATGTTCATAAAAAATCTTCTCTGAACACAGCTATTTCAGTAATGCATTCCAGTGTTACATATCTGAAGACACTTTCAGCAACAATCAAAATTCTAATTCCACCATTTATAGTTTTAGCATTGCAATTAGCCGTCTTCCACAAAGGGACGTATCCCGCACCCACATGTCACCATTTTCTCTGAGAGCTGCTAGGTGTCTCCTCTGGCATCCATTTTACGACTCATTCAGATTTCAAAAGCATTAAAATGTGAAAAACCTTAAAGTTCACTGAATTGATTAAACTTGAGTGATTTCACAACTAAAATTTAAGAGTGAGCAGGGAGGAAAGGAATTACAGAGTTACATTTTTAATACTGACTTTTTTTTTTAAAGGTAAAGTTATCAAGCTAAGAACCCAAACTCCAAAACTAATATCACACAAAAGAATATTAATACAACAAATCTGGATTTCTAGCTTTCATTTTCTATCTTGGGCCTATGCTCAGGCAATACGGTGATGGTCTTTCACCTTGCCTGCGTACTGGAATGGCCTGAAAGCTTTAAGGAGTCCCAGTGCTAGGTCCCCTCCTTTGAGTGACAGAATCAGAGCATCTGGAGGCAGGCCTGGTGTTTCTGTTCAGGGCTCCCCAGGTGCTTTATCAAGTGCAGCCAGGGTTGGGAACAGTGCGATACTGCCCAGTGCTGCTGCCATGATCCAACGCGTCTTTAAATTAGCCAACAATCAGCCTTCAGAATAGCAGTATACATATTCCCATTTATGAATTTTTTATATACTTTTCCTTGCTACAGACATTGGTTGGCATGTGGTCTTTACCAACTATAATGAAAAACGAGTGAGCAAGAGATGTGCATCCTGGTCCTGGAGCTGTCCCCACGTGGCTCTATTCCAGCCGCTCCCACCAGCTGGCTTGTATCGCCACCTACGAAATGCCGGTGTTGGATCTGATGTCTTGGATCTTCTCAGGCCCTGTAACTTTACAACTAGAATGTCTAACAAATCAAACACACATCCAAATTCACCCACCTTGGTTCTAACATTTCTGAGTGTCCGAAACAGCCCGAGGAGCTGTGCTAAGTTCAAAGTCACCTGGGAACGGCACAAGGTGCCGATGAAATGCCAAAGCAACCGCGCTTGTCGGGATCGATGCCATTACAGCAACAGGCATATTTACGGGGGAAGCGCACTTGGTGTTGAGAAGAATCCTAACTAAAGTTTCCATTGGAAAACTTAACAAGCTGTGTGGTCTTAGATGAGTTACTTACCCTCTCTGTGCCTTCACTTCCTCAACTGCAAAATGGCGCTGTGAGGACTAACTGAGATAATGCGCTTAAAGCATTTAAGACAATGCCTGGAAAACAAGTGCTGGATTTTTTTTCTAGAAACCTTAAAACATAAAGCCAAATCTATAAATCCAGAAAACCAAAGGCATTTAAAGTCAGTTATCTGACTTCTATTACCCAGTAAGCGGAAAGACCAGGATATGTCAGTGTCATCAGATAATCTCTGGATGAGGCAATTCCAAACAATATGATAGAGCTGCCTGGGAAAACCCCACTTATTCTGGAAACAAAACCTTAACATCTGTTCCTTCACAATCTCTATGAATACAATACTACAAATTCAACCAGCATTTACAAGTAAATGGAACTGATGGGCAGCAACTTTGTAGAAATGTATTTTATTATTTAGGGCTACAGGAACATTAGAATGAATACAGACAAGAATATCCTATGCCAGGGTCTGTCTCTCACTTCCAGAGGGCTGCAAGGACGTGACTTTACACTCCTAGAAGTAGGGGCAGCTACAAGTGAATTACAGAAGCCACACACTGAGGCAATCAGCCACATACAAGACAGCTAGAAATGTAGCTGGTGCTTTAATATCTCAACAAAGAATCTGAAAAACGCTGTGTATTAAGATCATACAAAATCCACTCTTAAACAAAAAAGCCTGTCCATTAAAAGCTGACACTCTTCCCCCGGACACCCTTTTAACTCAGAACTGAAGTCACTCCCAAAGTTCACCCTTCAGTCAAAGATTAAAAATAAAACGCGTTGCCTGAGTCGGTTCCAACTCATAGCGATCCTACGGGACAGGGTAGAACTGCCCCACAGGGTTTCCAAGGAGCAGCTGGTGGATTCAAACTGCCGACCTTTCGGTGAGCAGCCATCGCTCTTAACCACTGCGCCACCAGGGCCCCTCAGCCAAGGATTAGACGAGCCTATAAAACAAACAGTAACACACACGAGGAATGTGCTTCTTACTTCTATCAAGTACAAGAGACCAAATGGGCAACACCTGCCCAAAAGCAAAGACGAGAAGGCAGGAAGGGACAGGAAACCTGGACGAATGGACACGGAGCACCCAGGGCAGAAAGGGAGAGGGGGAGAGTGCTGACACATCGTGGGGATTGCAACCGTCACAGAACAACTTCTGTAGGAACTGTTGATGAGAAACTAATTTACTCTGTATACTTTCACCTAAAGCACAACTGAAAAAACAAAAAAAAAGCTGACATTCCCAGAAGTATCATGATACGTGCAATTTACTTTCAAGTGTTAGCAAAATAATAATTTTTAAAAATTAAAAAAATACAGAGGCATGAGACATAGATAAATGGACAAGAGATAAACAGATAAAGCAAATGCTGGAAGACAAATTATTATGACAGGATAAACTATTCTAAAAAACTGTTATCTGTTGAATTTAGATGGACAGCATATGGACATTCTTTGTACTATTTTTTCAGCTTTTCTGTATGTTGAAAATTCCTCTGATAAAAAATTTGTAAGTTTACATACATTCCAAGCTTAGAAGGATAACCAAAATTAGTCTCTTCCTCCCTTAAATAAATACTAAATACATTTCAGAAATAATTGTATTTTTTGATAAAGTATAAAATGTATCAATAGAGTTGAGATATTATACACAGAATTATCTCTGAATATACCAGAAGGTTTCTATAACTCCTTGTTTCAGCAGCCTGAATCCATCCCATTGGAATTCATCCAAGTATTGAAACCTTGCAGACTCAGTTAAAGTTTGATCTCAAAACTCAAAGTGAGGATAGTCAGCTCTTGGCTTTTCCTTTCTTTACTGGAAGTTGACCTGTAGCTTCCAAATACTTATTAATCAGATCTTCCTGGGTGGATGGTGAACATGGCTGATATCTGCAGTACTCCATTGTATACTCTCCCTTCCCCTAGAGTCAGAAAAACAAAAAGCAAAGAAAGTTTTTTTTTTGTTTTTTTTTTTAAATCATTAAGTAAAGTCGAGCAAAGACAGGATTTCACGATACGATCACTCTGCAGGGCGGCTTTTGACGAGTACTACAGTACAGCTTAAAACTTGCTTACCTCTGTGCATGATCTGAGCTCAGTGGAATAACCAAACATCTCACTTAGAGGGACCTGAAAATAAACACAGGGACATCTCAGAGTTGCTGACTGAAACGTTTTAGAGAAAACGACAGACAGCCCTCGGCCGTTTCATTCCCTTAGGTTCTACTATTGCTTAAAGAATCAAAAGCCAAAGAGAAACATATTTTCACTTATTTAATCCAAGTGGAAACCCTCATTTGAAGATAATTTTATTTGACGGTTACAACCAGAAGGCAAACCTTTCAGTTCCTCAGACCGCCAGCTGACACCATTGATGACCCTCCCTCCTCATCCCCAGCCCGCTCCCCGGCCTCAGTTCAAGCATTCAGAAGCGTTTCTCCCGTGGAAACGTTAACACGACTTCGCTGTGGACGCCTCAGGGATACGCTGCAAGTAGCCGCCTCCAAGGAGGCTTTGTGTGATGCGATAAATACCTTCTCCCCTGCTATTTAAGTCAGGTAAAGCGGAGGCAGGTGAACTATTACTCCAATAAACTAGAGAGAATGGATTCATAATAAAGCAGCTACGCAAATAAAGCCATAACGAGAAAGATAATCATGCATCTACAGAAAATGACAAATTCACAAACGGCCACGTGAAATGCATCTTATTTTCGGCTTCAGCACTTAAGAGTTGTTCCAAGAGCAAATTACAGAAACTGCTGCACACACGGAGCCACAAACAGGGAAATGTGGCACTTTGCTCTACAACCTCCACAAACAAAAGCCAACTGATTTCCTTCTGTGGTTAATGAGGCAAGATTGCCAGCGACGGGCAGTACTCACATCTGCGTACAGTGTGAAGAAGTCCTCAATTCCATCCTGCCCCGTGATCACCCCGTGGCGACGGTTAACTCCCGCAATCACCACTCCCTGAAATTCATTTGGGGCAACGATTTCCACAGACATAACAGGTTCAAGAATACACAATGTTCCATTGGCCAGGGCTGGGTTAAAACAAACAAACATTTTATTAATCTCCCCTGAACAAACTGGGGCTCTTTTCTTTTTTTTTGCATTTCAATAACTTTATTGAAAGGTATATTCCTTAATACCAAAACATAATGGTAGTTTGTTACTTCACCTCTGCCAACTCAAAATTAACAGTGATGTATTCAAAATATTGAAATGTTACCAGCCATCTGGGAAAACTGAAATGTTATCCACCAAAGATAGTTTACAAAAGTCAAATATAAGCTACACTGTGGTTTTTTGGCTTATTTTTCAGTGCATATTTATCCATAAATATCCATAACATGATGTCAAAAGTAAATCTGAATTGGTTAAAATCATTCTGGATGGTCTCAGGCTACGTAATGCACTGAGTAGCCGTTTACGACACTTCAACGTTGTAGATCTCACATTCTTTGACTTACACGGAAAATCTGAACACTACCTCAGCTACCTTCTAATTATTAAGGTGCCCGCTTAACTTTTCTTAAGACTTTATTTTGGCACTGTAGGGCATTTAATGAAAGTATACTCTGTTCCTTTTAAACAAAATTCTAAATTAGAGGCAATGGCAGTTTTATAAAAACAGTCCTGAGTAAAAACTTTTGGTGCGGGGGGGCTCTTTCCATCCAGATAGTGAAAGGGAGATGGAAGGCGTTCTCCCAAAGGAACACGCATGATGATGATGTTAAAATATTTGATTTGGACTCATTTTTCTAGCAGTAGTACCAGTCAGTCTTCTAAATGGAAGTTCTAATAAGGCAATACTTAATGCTAATTTTTATCCTGAAAACTCACTGTAGTGTAAAGAATACTAAAAGAGATCTGAAAATTTGATCGAGTCCTTCACCATCTAAATTATCCAGTGTAGGTTACTTATCCTCTTTCTGAAAATCTTCAGAGGTAAGGAAACTGTTAGTCTTTGACCAAGGTAAGCCCACCCTTTCTTTCTGGATCCCAGCGGACGGCTGTTCTTAAATGTAACTGTAAGAAAATAACTTTCATCTCGGGGAGGAGAAGGGTGGAGACAATAACCAAGCCACCTGAGCTCTGTCTGTCCTTCTGCAGGCTCAACAATTTCTGATTGAGAATCAGAAGACCAAGCTTCTAGCTTCTACTCTGCCTCTAACAAGGCAAAACACAGTTGATCCAGGTTTCAAGTTTCTTCACCTACAAAATAAAGACATTGGTCTAGATGTTGTTGTTGCTGTTAGATGCTATTGAGTCAGTTCCAACTCATAACAACACTATGTACAACACTGTTCGAGCCTACTGTTTCAGCCACTGTGGTCAATCCATCTTGCTGAGGGTCCTCCTCCTTTTTCACTGACCCTGTACTTTAGCAAGCATGAAGTCCTTCTCCATGATCCCTCCTGATAACATGTCCAAACTTGCTTCTAAGGAGCACTCTGGCTGTACGCCTTCCAAGACGGGTTCGTTTGTTCTTCTGGCAGTCCACGGTATGGTCAATATTCTTTGCCAACATCATGATTCAAAGGCATCGATTCTTCTCCTTCTCCGGTCTTCCTCATTCACTGTCCAGCTTTTGCGTGCACATGAGGTGATGGAAAACACCATGGCTTGGGTCAGGCGCACCTCAGTCCTCAAAGTGACATCTTTGCTCTTTAACACTTTAAAGAGGTCTTTTGCAGCAGATTTCGCCAACGCAATGCGTCGCCTGATTTCTTGACTGCTGCTTCCATGGGTGTCGATTGTGGATCCAAGTAAAATGAAGTTCTTACAGCTACAATCTTTTCTCTGTTTATCATGATGTTGCTTATTGGTCCAGTTGTGAGGATTTTTGTTTTCTTTATGTTGAGGTGCTATCCACACAGAAGGCTGTAGTCTTTGATCTTCACCAGTAAATGCTTCAAGTCCTCTTCAATTTCAGCAAGCAAGTATTGGACTAAATGCTAGGGGCCATGTAGCACGAAAACTCAATGCTTATGTTTATTTTTCATCTCACTAAACACAAAACTAGGACATTTCTCACTGTGACAAACACTGACTGATGTTTAAATGTATCAGTGTAGAGAGAATACAGTAAAACTTCAAACTCTCATACTTAATTTGGAAGCTGAGATAGTGCAGAATACTACTACAGCATCAGACTAGCTGAATTATCTCCAAACAAAAGTTCTAAGCAAAACACAGAAAGTATGACAAAGAAAATAATTTATTTTTAAATAATCAGTTTTTTCCAAAGTATCAATTTGTTTATAATAACCTAATCAGCACTTTCTTATATAGTCATCAAAGCACTTCTTGTAAAGATACTCTTAGCTTAGGTCCAATAATGATATGAAGAGATATGTAATATACTTGCATTTCTTTTAAACATTTTCTAATTCAAATCATTTCCTAGCTCAGATCTACCTTTGACTAAAGAGTCCTAAGTAGTGAATTTTGTTCTGAAAAGAGGAACAAAATGAACACATGGAAACATTCCAGACACCTAAGCTTCATCAGCTAACTCTGCAGAACCCTCTGCAGGTATCTCAAGATGATGATTAACGATTCTAGTCTGTAGAGACAGCTCTGTTTCTTGGCTTATCACAACACCAGAGCTTCCTCAGCTCTAAAGACATCCAATAAATATGAATAAAGGCACCCAGAAAGAGAGATGTCTTGATCAGACATATCACGATTTAACTACAGATTATCCAGTGTTGTCAGTTGGTTAGTAACGTGAAAGCGTCAGGGTGTGAAAGGGTCACATGTTAAAGGAAGGGGCCACGTGTACAGGTGCCCATCACTTAACTGTTGAGGACAGCCTTGCAGTTCAGTTACATATTCCCTCACCTGCTCCCTTCTTTTTAACTCCCTCTTTCTTCCTACATCCATCTCCTGATCTACTTCCAAATGAACCTTGCCCTTACACACGCCTTCATCTAAACTTATTCCATATCACAAGACTCCAGAGCTACCTCACCTGCTGTTTTCAACAGCCACATGGCAGCTAAGTCCTAAACACAATATTTTCTAAAGCAGATTCACGTGGTCTACAGCTTCTCAGGATAGAAAGTGAAACTATCGATACCATCAGAGGATCTTTGAAGCCGGAAGTGATGGAAGGACAGTAATGTTTCTATTTCAGGCCACTAGGAATGATGTTGATATTACCAGACCACGTGCCAAAGAGGCTGTGTGAGGAGGTGGTCAGGGGCTCGGACCCTGGTCTGGGTTTAACTCTTAGCTCTACCACCAATTAGCTTGTAACCTAGGGCCACTCAGTTAACTGCTCAGAGTCTCTGTGAGGATGATTCATGTAAAGTACTCAGCAGAATACATGGCACATGAGTGACCAATAACTGTGACTATGACCCCCTTAGACAAACTAACTGGGAAACAGGCAGCATGGCGTGGTGTTACGTCGAAGGTAATATACTGCACGAACAGGGGTTAACACTCCCTGTGCCCAAGTGTTTTCAAGCACGTTCTCACTTAAAATTCATAGAACTAGCACCTCCAAGCTGCCCAGGGAAAGTTCCACTGCCTTGCTCATTTCACATAGTAAGGATGGGAAAAGCTAGGATTCAGACTCACAGCCCAGCACCTGATGTGGCAGAGGATCAAAGAAGAGGCACTGCCAAGCTGAGTAAGATAACGCAGACTCTGGCGAGGCCGTGATCTCTCCTGCAGATCGGCTCTAAGTCCAGCGTTAACCAGGTAGGTCGAGCATGATGCTCTTCCTGAAAAAACGGGCACTGAAAAAACGGACAGTCATACTCACAGGGTGAAACACCAAGGCAACAGTCCATTTCACATTTTAGTGTCAGGCTACAGCATTAATGAATCTCGGAGGCAAAGGTAAAATTTGATTCAAATTAGCTCCAGCTTTCATTTTTTAAGGAAAAGTACATGGGAAACTGAAATATTTTTCTCCCAATTTTTGACAATGCAGAATAGCACAGAAGTTTAAGGTATTCTAATCATGAAGCTCATCTACCAACATTTTCACCCGGACACTCTCATATGGCATTCAGTAGGTGTTTATCTATGAAAAGCTGATTTTCTATCTGAGCTTGAAGGAACTTCCATCCACCCTTTCACAGTTTCATCTTTCAGTGATGGAGAAGTGAAAATCAACCGAAGAAAGAGTAAACGAATTCACTTTTTTTTGCAAGCACCCAGCTTGTCTCCAAATGTGTGTAGGGCAAAAATAATACTGCTCAACTAATTATAATCTACTGCTTTTCCTTTGCATAACTACCAGGAAATTAATCATATTACAATATTTGTGTAGATATATATTTAATTGTATCATGTTTTAGGTGAAACTTTACAGCACAAATTAGTTTTTCATTCAAAAATATATACACAAATTGTTTTGTGACATTGTTGCAATCCCCACAGTGTGTCCGCACTCTCCTCCTTTCCCTTTCAACCTTGGGTTCTCCGTGTCCATTGGACCAGTTTTCCTGTCCCTTCCTGCCTTCTTGTCTTTGCCTTTGGGCAGGTTTTGTCCATTTGGAATATTTGTATATTTAAGCAAGTAAGCAAAGGTAAATGTACATATCCAACTCTTCAGTTAATATTTATGTGTGTATATTTTTCATGGTTATATATGTACACTTTTATGGATATAGATACATTTTATGGACATATACATCTATATTTATATATATTTATATTTAAATATTTCTGCTGTGTTGTTAGGTGCCATCGAGTTGGTTCTAACTCAAAGCAACCCCATGTTCAACAGAACGAAACACTGCCCAGTCCTGAGCCATCTTCAAAATTGTTGCTATGTTTGACCCAATTGTTGCAGCCACTGTGTCAATCCACCTCATTGAGGGTCTTCCTTTTCTTCACTGACCCTCTACTTTACCAAGCATGATGTCCTTCTCCAGGTTCTGGTCCCTCCTGATAACATGTCCAAAGTACATGAGATGAAGTCTCACCACCCTTACTCTTCTAAGGAGCATTCTGGCTGTAACTCCATCCAAGACAGATTTGTTTTTTGTTCTGGCTGTCCACGGTATATTCAATATTCTTTGCCAACACTGTAATTGAAAGGCATCAATTCTTCGGTTTTCCTTATTCATGACCCAGCTTTCACATACATATGAGGCGAGCAAAATACTTTAGTCAGGCGCACTTTAGTCCTCAAAGTGACACCTTTGCTTTGTAATACTTTAAAGAGATCTTTTGAAGCAGATTTGCTCAATGCAATACGTCATTTGAATTCTTGACTGCTGCTTCCATGGGCGTTGGTTGTGGATCCAAGTAAAACAAAATCTTTAACAACTACAATATTTTCTCTGTTTATCATGATGTTGCTTATGGGTCCAGTGGTGAGGATTTCTGCTCAATGTTGAGGTGTAATGTGCACTGAAGGCTGTGGTCTTTGATCTTCATCAGTAAGTGCTTCAAGTCTTCTTCACTTTCAGCAACTAAGGTTGTACATTTGCATATCAAAGGTTGTTAATGAGTCTTCCTCTCATCCTGATGCCCGAGTTCTTCGAGTTCTTCCTATAGCCCAGCTTCTCAGATTATTTGCTTAGCATACAGACTGAGTAAGTATGGTGAAACGATACAACCCTGACACACACCTTTCCTGATTTTAAACCATGCAGTATCCCTTTGTTCCATTCGAATGACTGCCTCTTGATCTATGCACAGGTTCCTCATAAGCACAATTAAGTGTTCTGGAATTCCCATTCTTCACAATGTTAGCCATAATTTGTTATGATCCATACAGTCGAATGCCTCTGCATAGTCAATAAAACACAGGTAAACATCTTTCTGGTATTCTTTGCTTTCAGCCAAGATCCATCTGACATCAGCAATGATATCCCCTCATTCCACGTCCTCTTCTCAATCTGGCTTGAATTTCTGGCAGTTCCCTGTCGATGCACTGCTGCTATTGCTTTTGAGTTATTTCCAGCATAATTTTACCTGCAGGTGATACTGGTCAATAATTTCCACATTCCACTGGATCACCGTTCTTTGGAACAGGCATCTATATGGATCTCTTTCAGTCAGCTGGCAAGGTAGCCGTCTTCCAAATTTCTTGGTATAGACAAGTGAGTGCTTCCAGCATTGCATTTGTTGAAACATCTCAGTTGGTGTTCTGTCAATTCCCGGAGCCTTGTTTTTTGCCAGTGTCTTCAGTGCAACTTGGACTTCTTCCTTCAGTACTGTCGGTTCCCGATCCCATGCTGCCTCCTGAAATGGCTGGATGTCGACTAATTCCTTTTGGTATAGTGACTCTGTGTATTTCTTCCATCTTCTTTTGATGCTTCTTGCTTCGTTTAATATTTTCCCTGTAGAATCCTTCAGTATTTGAATTTTTTCTTCAGTTCTTTCAGCTTGAGAAATGCCGAGTGTGTTCTTTCCTTCTGGTTTTCTAATGCCAGGTTTTTGCACATTTCATTATAATACTTTACTTTGTCTTCTCAAGCTGCCCTTTGGAATCTTCTGTTCACCTCTTTTACTTCATCATTTCTTACATTTGCTTTAGGTACTCTACATTCAAAAGCAAGTTTCAGAGTCTCTTCTGACAACCGTTTTGGTCTTTTCTCTTTCCTGTCTTTTTAATGACTTTTTGCTTTCTTCATGTACGATGTCCTTGATGTCACCTCTCAACTCGTCTGGTCTTCGGTCATTAGTATTCAATGTGTCAAATCTATTCTTGAGATGGTATCTAAATTCAGGTGGGATATACTCAAGGTTGTACTTTGGCTCTCATGGACTTGTTTTAATTTTCTTCAGCTTCAACTTGAACTCACATATGAGCAACTGATGGTCTGTTCCGCAGTCGGCCCCTCACCTTGTTCTGACTGATACTGAACTTCTTCTCCATTGTCTCTTTCCACAGATGTGGTCGATCTGATTCCTGTGTATCCTGTGAGGTGAGGTCCACGTGTATAGTCGCCGCTTCTGTTGCTGAAATAAGTTGTTGGTTTTGCAAAATTCTATCATGTGATTTCCCACACTGTTTCTATCACCAAGACCATATTTTCCAACTACTGATCCTCCTCTGTTTCCAACTTTTGCATGCCAATCAACAGTAATTATCAATGCATCTTGACTGTATCTTTCATCAATTTCAGACTGCAGAAGTTGGTAAAAATCTTCAACTTCCTCATCTTTGGCATTAGTGGTTGTTGAGTAAATTGGAATAACAGTCGTAGTTACTGGTCTTCCTTACGGGCATATGGATATTATCTTATCACTGGCAGCGCTGTATTCCAGGATAGATCGTGAAACGTTCTTTTTGACCATGAAAGCGACGCCATTCCTCTTGTGGTCTGTCAGTCCTGGCATAGTAGACCATATGACTGCCTGATTGAAAATAGCCAATTGCAGTACATTTCAGCACACTAATACAGATATAGAAGCAGTTAAAAAGAACGAGGCTGTTTGTTAACTATTAACCATGCCAATTATCTGGCTTTATGTAACCTCTATCTCCAGGAAAGCTACTAATTTCTAGCCAATAAAAGAACTAGCATAGCACAATTGCTGATTTTTAATTTGTTCTAACAGCACTTCTAAAAGGTATATCAAGTGATTATAATTACCAGTTTTTTATTAAAACGGCAAACACTTAAGAGAGCAAGAGGCAAGGTTTCCTTCTGAGCCCAGGGCCTTGTTCCCCTTGTGATTCCATCACCCTGTTTCCTGTTAACACAATCTTCAGATCGTGACAGGATTTCTAGAACATAGATTTCAACTGTCTATTTAGTAGAGAGCTGGTATAAAGAAAATGAAGGATATGGAAGAGATGAGAAAGAATAAACTCTCTGGCTTCCAGACACAACTTCAATGTTCCTTTGCTGAATAACCCTGATGTCAAACTGCTGTACTGTCATTTACTTTCCTCTCTGAAAGGCAAAGAATCAGAGTCCAGTTGTTTAGGGTTCTGGTTCATCAGGGTTTTTTTACCACACATATTATTCTGTGTGTGAGGGTTGACAATTTTAGCAGGTTAGCACCGTGAATAAGCATATTCTTTCAAAATATTTCGCCATCCTCAAAATGCCTAAAGCCTACAACGTCATACATGAAAAAATTACAGTACTTACAAATTCATGGATTCCCTGGCACTTGAATAAGCCACTAAAAATGGCATGATTGCAGTTAATGTTTCTTTGTTCCCTGGTGTGGTGCCTAGGGCTCTGGGTGGACAAGACCACGGATGCCTTCCGTGGTTCTGACGTCCACTGGCAGGAACAGACATGCTAAGGCCGTGGGGACCAGGACACAGCATACCTTGTTTCAGAGCACCTTCTCCTGCTCGGATGAAAGAGATCTCATTGGAATCAACCATGTGGTGTGCGCCATCTTGCAGGACAAACCGGAGACCAGAGAGTTTGTGACCAGAAAGAGGGCCCGTCTCACAGGCATCCAAAAACCCCTGTTACAGAAAACAGCTTCTGGAGTGAGTGGGCTTCACCTGCAGGTGCATTATCAAGAACCAACACACAGTAGTGCTCAGAAGTTTCTCGTTTCTATGTATATTTCAGTTCTCAAAAAAGAATTTCTAAAAAGTAGAGCAACTTTACTATTTCAGCTTTATTATTATGGTATCAGACGAGCGGTCCCTGGAAAAGCCTGTTACGGAAAGGTGTGCACTACTTTCCAAGTGTTGCTCAGAGCGCTAACAATCACTTTCTCATAACCTCATCTTCAGGAATTACTGCACTCTCAAAACCCATTAGGATCTTAATTTTACAATGAGCAAACAGAGGAAAGGCAAAACTAAGAAACTCCCCTAGGTTTTTTTTTTGTTTTTTTGATGGAGGTTTAAAGAAAACTTCCATCAAAACCAGCATTTATGCAACACGTGTGTTTTGAACTCTACCATGCATCTGTAACTGCTCTGCCTCATTTCCAGATCACATTACAGCTTCAGTGTTTGTTACTCAATGTCAGAAAGAACTACAATTAAGATCATTTCATTCTTCCAAATGCAATTCTTCTTTTAAAAAAAATCAGCTTCACTGAGTTATAATTATGGACAATATACTGCACATATTTAAAGAGTACGATTCAGTAAGTGTGCAATTTTTGTTCACTCAGTTACTTAAGTATCTGTAGAACTCCCGCAAAAAAAAAAAAAGGTCAGCTTTTCTTGGCAAGACAACCACAGGCTCCACACACAGTGAAATGTGTTCCTGACATTTCAAAACCACAGGCGATGTTCGCTGAAAAATAGCCAAGCCCCCCTTTACCTACATTATGAAGAGATTTAAAAGTGTGTGAATGACAAAATATTGCCTTGAAACAGAACATAATGAAATATGATGATAAAAAACGTTACTGCCACTGAAACCAAAATTATAACCTGTGAACAAGGATTTCTAAGTTAAAAGGTTAAAAAAAAATTCTCAGTCTGTAAGAATAAACACTTGCCTTAAAGTAACTGACTACCCAACAAACCAGTAACCCCTCACACATGCAAGCGCTTCACAGTTCCTAAGGAACTTCGCACAATCTTATCTGATCCGCAGTTTTGTGAGGCGTGCAGGTTTATTTTATTACCAGTTTACAAATGAAGGAACTGATTCTGAACACTGATGTACCAAAGACCACACTGAGCGGCAGCAGAGAGGACAGCAGCAGAGGCCAGGTGCTAGGTCATTCACTAGAACGGTACCCACAACACTTATAAATCCACAGGGACTACTGCAAATTTTAACTGCTGATCACAACTGATGAAGCAGTTGCAATTTATCAAGAGAAATGTGACAACTATGATTAAGAAACAGGATGAAAATCTCCTGTTATTGTCACTGCATATATTCATAGCTCTTGAATAAATGAATTGAAGATTCGAAATCAGATGGTAACAACCAGATAAAGCAGCACGACTGTAGGTAAAACAAAGTGTGGCAGACAATGTGGCAGAAAGAAGAAGTATGAATGGGATACTGCTTTTAAGAAATAAAAATGGGAGGAGGCTTCTTTTTTTACCTTTTCTACAGCAGGCACAAACTGCTTTGGAATGTTTGACCCGAAGGTTTCGTCTAAAAACTCCAACTTGGTGTAGTTCTCCGGGTCCAGGGGCTCCAGCACACCCGTCACCTTCCCAAACTGGCCCGCACCCCCTGATTGTTTTTTGTGCGTAAACTCAAACCTGAAAGCGATTCAGGAAGGAAAAAACCAACAGAGCATTACGTTAATTACCAAACTAAGTCACTCCTACTAATTTAAATGACAAACCACATTTAACCGTGTTCATTTTTTCCTTTGACTATGGGGCCACTGCTAGAGAGTTTTACTGTGGAATTTATTTTAAAAAGAATCTTCTCTTTTCTGTTCTTATTCGGGGTGAGGGCAGGGAACACCTCCCAAACAATCAACAGCTTTCTTTAGTTCTGCCCATTCTGAATTTCACAAGTAAAAAGCAAGAGTCAAGTAATTAAGATAAAAAGGCTCGTCTAAGGTTCTTGTTCTAGTGATCTGCATTCCAAAGAGCTTACCCGCAGCCTCTGGCAGGCTCCCTGGCACACAGCGTTCTCTCCCTCAATTGCTGTAACCAGGGACACTGAATGGAAAATAGGAGCTCTGACGCCACAGTTTACTCACTGAGCTAATTCCTCTTTGATTTTACTGCTTGGGCACTATAAACAGGCTCAAAACAAGAAGAGTTTCGGGCGGGAAAATTAACACCTGGAAGTGATTAATGGCAAAATGGCAGGGACTAACATGAATAAGCCATGCACAGAAACCCACCGCCGTCAGTTCTGACTCACAGCAGCCCTACAAGACAGAGTAGAACTGACCCATATGATTTCCATGGCTGTAATCTTCATGGAAGCAGACTGTCACATCTTTGTCCCACAGAGCAGCTGGAGGGTTCAAACGGCTGACCTTTTGGTTAGCAGCCGAGTGCTTACCACTGTGCCACCATGGCTCCAGCCATTCATATAAACATATATGTCGTTGTTAGGTGCCACTGAGTTGGTTCTGACTCATAGCAACCCGATGTACAACAGAACAAAACACTGCCCGGTCCTGCACCATCCTCACGATCATTGTTATGCTTGAGCCCACTGTTGCAGCCACTGTGTCAATCCACCTCATTGAGGGTCTTCCTCTTTTCCTCTGACCCTCTACTTTACGAAACATGATGTCCTTCTTCTGACACTGGTCCTTCCTCATAACATGTCCAAAGTACGTGAGACAAAGTCTCACCATCCTCGCTTCTAAGGAACATTCTGGATGTACTTCTTCCAAGACAGACTTGTTCGTTCTTCTGGAAGCCCATATTCTTCAACAACATCACAATTCAAAGGCATCAATTCTTCTTCGGTCTTCCTTACTCACTGTTCAGCCTTCACGTGCATATGATCGAAAACACCATGGCTTTGGTCAGGCACATGTTAGTCCTTCAAGTAACATCTTTGCTTTTTAACACTTTAAAGAGATCTTCTGTAGCAGATTTTCCATATATATACACACATATACATATATATACGTACATATAAACACAGGTCAATGTTTACTTCAAGCCACTAATGGCAACATAAATAGGAAATAATAAGCATTTTACATACATATTATGCCTATCTAAACACAGGCTGCCATTTCAATGAGACATTACACAGTACCTACTGTATGCATTTCTTCCTTTAAATTGAAACCTTCCTCAACATAATAAGATGAAAGAGGCCAGCTGCTTTCAACGTTATCTGCAGACAACTGCAAGTTAACGGACATCAATGAGCGTGTTCTTGCACACAGATCTGAGTGCTTGGAAGAAGTAAGTATCAGTATCAGTAGGAGATGCCATCTTGAAAGAGGAGATTTCACAGAGAGGCTAAGCGGGAATGTGCCCGGTTAAATGCCTTTAAATAATATCCCAGCGGCCAAGAGCTTCACGATGGGCCAGGAAAACAAAATGCTGAAAGGCTAATCTTCCTGGGAGAAAAGAAAAAAACAGCAGGTATCTAGACTACAAGGGACGTAGAAGGGAAACCCCTGCTAAATCACCACAGGATTACCGATGCGATTCCCAAACTGTGGTCCACTGACATTCTCAGGGGCGTACACTGACATTCTCAGGGGCGTACAAGTTCTCTGTAAGACATTTTAAAATTTTTGTCTTAAATTAGACAATAATATGTATGCAGACATATTCTAGATCTGTGTTATCCACAGGGCAATCACTAACCACAGCTATTTAAATCGAAATTAATTAAAACTAAAAATGCATTTCCTCAGTCACGCCAGCCACATATCCAGTGCTCACTGGCTGCGTGTGGAGAGTGTCTACTACCTTAGCCAGCAGAGGTACAGACATTTCCACCGTCCACAAGGCTCTTCTGCTGGACAGCAGTGCTCTGGAGAACAACTCACCCACAAGTGACTCCACACAGCTTCAGGGGCCATTTCTGAACTTACAAGCAATGGGTGTCAAACAACAGGACATTTGTGTGCCAGGTTCGTACTAAGCACTTTATACGGATTGTCTTACTTGTTCGTCACTGCAAACCCATGAAGGAGGCGCTATTTTCATCACCATTTTGCAGAAGAGAAACCCGAGGGCCAGAGAGGCTGAGTAACTTGCCCAATCTGACACAGCTATTAAGTGGCAGAGCTTGGATTTGTACCAAAACCAGCGTCCTTAACTGAGCATTTTCCTAGAAGCCTAGTAAGAAAAGAATATAATCGGCAAATGATGCACCCACTCCACCAGCCACTAGAAGGCGCTGCACGAGGATGACTGAGTACAGAGGTGGGAGAACTAAGGCACCACTCGGCAGGGGGCTACAGAGTCACGCTGTTGTTATTGTTGTCAGATGCCGTGAAGTCGGTTCTGACTCACAGCGACCCTACGTACAACAGAAGGAAACACTGCCCGGTCCTGCGCCATCCTCACAGTCATTGTTAGTTTGAGCCCGTTGTTGCAGCCACTGTGTCAATGCATCTCGTTGAGGGTCTTCCTCTTTCTCGCTGACCCTCTACTTCACCAACCATGATGTCCTTCTCCAGGGACTGGTCCCTCCTGATAACACGTCCAAAGTCCGTGAGACAAAGTCTTGCCAGCCTCGCTTCTAAGGAGCATTCTGGCTATACTTCTTCCAAGACAGATTTGTTCCTTCTTCTGGGAGTCGGTGGTATATTCAATATTCTTTGCCAACACCATAATTCAAAGGCATCAATTCTTCTTCTGTCCTCCCTATTCACTGTCCAGCTTTCGCATGCGTATGAGACAAATGAAATACCATGGCTTGGGTCAGGCGCACCTTAGTTTTCAAGGAGACATCTTTGCTTCAGTCTTTATGCACCAGATTTGCCCAATGTAATACAACATAACGAAAGCAAAAAGGCATAATGAAGGTACAAGACACCCACACCCATGTGGTCAGACCACTGCATGTTGTGAGAGGCAATTTCGTTTTGGCAAAACATCTTCTGTCACGTTAAAATTAATGTTAACTATAGTTGTGTTGGTTTACTGTTTACCTCCAATTCGTAGATTTGTTGTCACGTCACAGTCATACCAAAGTCGCAAGCCATAGGTGTTTTTACTTAGTGTTATGTTCACATAAAAAAACAAAAACCAAACCAGTTGCTGTAGAGTCGATTCTGACTCACGGCAACCCTATGAGTGCAGAGTAGAACTGCGCTCCATAGGGTTTCCAAAGCTGGGACCTTTTGGAGGCGGGATCACCAGGCCTGTCTTCCCAGGCATCTCTGGGTGGGTTTGAACCACTAACCTTCTGGTTAGTAGCTGAGCGCTTAGCCGTCTGTGCTACCCAGAGACTCTATGTTCACACAGCTACACAAAATTATAATAAAAATAATTTAACTCATCCCTAGAGACATAATAATTTTGTTACTTTCAAGCTCATCCATACATTATCGCAGTTTGAGAATAGTGGACTGATGACCAACGATTCTTGAAGCTTCAGCAAGCAGCTAAGAGCTTAAGGACCCAAATATAGGATGAGATTCTCTTAATACGGTTTACTTGTTCAACATATAGACAGTCTGTAATATGTAATAATTATAATATTATAATTATAATAATATATAATTATAGTATAACGATAATATAATAATATGTAATAATTATATATATAAGAGAACTAAATTGGTATGTGTACTTATAGTAAATTCCTGATACATCACAAACTATGTTATTAATCTTCACCTACAGGGATAGTGGTTATGTTCATAAAGCTTCAAAATGGTGACCGTCTCTAGGAAGCTTAGATGTTGTACTTCTCACTACTCTACAGGACAATAACACAGGGTGTGCTAACGAGCAATTTGTGAAACTTAAAATGTCATTATTAGCAAAAAGCTCTTTCACCAGGTACTCCCTCAGCCACTCCTTCGGGACACTATCAAAGAAGCACCTAATTCAAATAATTCATTCACACACAGCGACAGCCTAAGACGTCAGCTGACGAATGACTCACACCCCGCCCGCCCCACCCCTCCGCAAAGAAAGACAGGCAAAAACAACCTTCGATTTCTTAGAAAAAACCTTAACAGAAAAGGAGAAACTAACCCTTTCGTTCAGAAATCAATTAAACCTCTATTTCAGGTGTTAGGTAACGTCACTAGAAAGGATGGACTGTGTCTTGCTGTTCACTGTTTTTTAAATGTACTTATTCCAGTGAAAGACCTTATTTATAAGTAAATTTAAAATGGCATATGAGGAAGACAACACAAATACATTTAAAGTCTGCCCTTACTTTTAAGCAGCTTTTAAAAACCCTGCTTTTGTTAGAAGCTATTTTAATGCAATGCTTTCTGTACGTTCACTTTTTAAGTATGTTTTAATCCTTAAAGTAAAATTTTCAGTGATTCAAGGCGGAAGTACGATGTTGTATCAAAACCTCTTATTTTTGAGAGTTGTGAAGAGACTGGAACACTTATACACTGTTGGTGGGAATGTAAAATGGTACAACCACTTTGGAAATCGATTTGGTGCATCCTTAAAAAGCTAGAAATAGAAGTACCAGATGATCCAGCAATCTCGCTCCTTGGAATATATCCTACAGAAATAAAAGCCGTCACGCAAACAGATACATGCACACCCATATTCACTGCAGCACTGTTCACAATAGCAAAAAGATGGAAACAACCTAGGTGTCCATCAACAGATGAATGGATAAACAAACTATGTATATTCACACAGTGGAATACTATGCAACGATAAACAACAACAATGAATCTGTGAAACATAACATGGAGGAATCTGGAAGGCATTATGCTGAGTGAATTCAGTCAGTCACAAAAGGACAAATATTGCATAAGACCACTATTATAAGAACTCAAGAAAAGGTTTAAACACAGAAGAAAACATTCTTTGATGGTTACGAGGGTGGGGAGGGAGGGAGAGATTATTCACCAACTAGACAGTAGATAAGAATTAAGGGAAGGGAAGGACAGCACACACTACAGGGGAAATCAGCACAACTGGACTAAACCAAAGCTAAGAATTTTCCTGAATACAATCAAACACTTTGAGGGACAGAGTAGCAGGGGAGGTCTGGGGTCCATGCCTTCAGGGGACATCTAGGTCAACTGGCATAACAAGGTTTTTTAAGAAAATGTTCTGCATCCTACTTTGGTGAGTGGTGTCTGGGGTCTTAAAACCTAGCAAGCGGCCATCTAAGATGCATCAATTGGTCCTAACCCACCTAGAGTAAAGGAGAATGAAGAATACCAAAGACACAAGGAAAGTATTAGCCCAAGAGACTCCATCAGCTTGAAACCGGAAGAACTAGATGGTGCCCGGCTACCACCAATGACCACCCTGACAAGGAACACAACAAAGAGTCCCTGATGGAGCAGGAGAAAAGTGGGGTACAGAATTCAAATTCTAGTAAAAAGACCAGACTTAATGGTCTGAGACTGGAGAAACCCCAGAAAACATGGTCCCTGCACTCTCTGTCAACCAAGAACTAAACCATTCCTGAGGCCAACTCTTCAGACAAAGATTAGACTGGACTATGGTACATAAAATGATATTCATGAAGAGTGTACTTCTTAGCTCAAGTAGATACATGAGACTAAATGGGCAGCTCCTGTCTGGAGGTGAGATGAGAAGGCAGAGAGGGTCAGGAGCTGGTTGAATGGACACAGGAAATCACGGGTGGAAAGGAGGAGTGTGCTGTCACAGTATCGGGAGAGCAATTAGGGTCACATAGCAATGTATGTATAAATTTTTGTAGGAGAGACTAACTTGAATTGTGAACTTTCACTTAAAGTACAACAATAAAGAAATTTTTTTTTAAAAAAAACCTTTATTTCTAAAATCAGGAAAAGGGCAGGTACTTTTCTTATTTCTAGTGATCTAAGTTACATAATCTCCCAAATTAATATTATACATTGCAGTCTCTCATACTCTGACTTGGGCGCGCCTGGCCCAGCCCCACAGAAAACTGGGTGAGCAAGTCCGTTCCTGGGCTCTCTCACCAGGGAAAGGCGGGCGAGGAAATAGAATCACCACCTACAGCACCTTTGCACCCTGCTGGCCACTGCGGGCGTGGACAAGGGCGTGGCGCTCCAGTGTGCAACAAAAGCAAGTAGCCTCCCTTCCATGGGGAGGAGCCGCCCACAAAGCCGAGGGCGCGGAAGCCCTCCCCACTGTGCTTCCGCGGTTAATAAAAGAAGGTCCCCGCCTGAAGCGCCGAGTGCTGAGCCGGCAGGCGGGTGGGCTGGGCACGCAGCCGCAGGGCGGGAGCCGAGGCCGAGCCACGAGCCGAGCCCGGCCACGCAGCAGCTTCCGGAGCCCGGAGGAGCAGCGGGAACGCGCGAGCCGTCCGCGCCCGGCCAGCCGCCCAGTAGCCCGGCTCGCCTTATCTGCCCCGGCGCACGCTGCCCCGCTATCCGAGCATGGAGATCCCACCTACCCACTTCCCAGCCTCCAGGGCGGCCTCGGTGGCGGAGAACTGCATCAACTACCAGCAAGGGACTCCCCACAAGGTGTTCCTGCTGCAGACGGTCGAGCAAGCCAGCATGGAGGTGAGTGCGCCCCGGGCGCGGGCTCCGGGTGGGCCACGCCCTCTGCTCGCCGGCGGTCTCCGCTCGCCCCGTCTCCCCTCGCTCCCACCCCGCCGGCCTCTGTCTTGAGATAGGCGGCTGACTTCTGCTCTAGAGAAGCTTAGATTTCCACATTCCGACCTCAGGTGACAGCCCGGGGCTGTCTGTTTTCAGGTAAGCTACAGACACCAGCACTTTTGATGGGCAAGCACTCGGCTGGTCGGTGGTTTGAACCCACCCACCAGCTCCGCGGCAGAAAGACCTGGCGATCTGCTCCCTTAAAAAGATTACAGCCTTGGAAACCCTATGGGGCAGTTCTACTCTGTCCTATAGGGTCGCTATGAGTCGGAATCGACTCAACGGCAACCGGTTTGGTTTGTTTTTTTTTTTTTTTGTATTACAAGGAAATGGGAAAATAGAAGAAGGGAAGCATTTTCCCCTTTCCCCAAGTGAAATCCGTAAGAACCATTCAAAAGAATCTTAAAACTGTTGCTACATTTCTCATCTACTGCTCCAACTGGCACCACGAAAGGCTCCCATCCCTACTGCCTAGAATCTAAGACCAATCCGTATTAGTTCCTTTGACCACAATAAAAGGGGAAAGGAAGCAAGAGAAACTGACAACCAAGGGCAGAATGAACCACTGCGAGCTGAAGCTTTGTCTTAATCACCCAAACCCGATCAGCACGGACTGCCTGAAGTGCCAGGCGTCCTCTGGCTGAAGGGTTAAACGCCTAAAGCCTCAGTGAGCAGTAAACAGCTTTGTCCCCATTATACTGCCTTCGAAAGGATATGAGATTGTTCCTTATCTTACATCATTTTAACCCTTTTGTGCACCAGTTATTTTCTGCTTTGAATTTCTGGTCGATGGTGTGTTTTCATTAGTGAAGCAAGCTCAATCCCTGAGGGTGTCTGAATTTTTGGCAGGCAGTATGGATTTTTTTCTTGTCCCCTTTCACAAGCCTACCCTAAGCGTTTAGTGGTACATATGAAGTACCACTAATTATACCTCAGAGTCCCCACTGGAGTCTATTGGTACGTATGTGTAACAGAAATTTTCAGAATTTCTGTCTTTCCTACCAAAAACTCAGCCACCCCATACAACCCCCGTAAGAACAGCAACCTGTGGCACACACCTGTTTCTTTAGTTTCAAACAGTCACAAAGGCCTCTGCCTTGTGGCAGCACGCAGTCTCAGGGGTACAGCAGCTTCCCAATAAACCCCAGAGGCTGAAAAACCCTAGAGATACCTGTGAGCGCCAAAGGGTTAACCGTGAACAGGCTGTAAGAGCAGACAGGGAACAGGTATTATTTGAAACTGTGCTAGACACACTCGTTGCTGCTGAGTCATTCGGACTCATCGCGACCCCACAGAACAGAGCAGAACTGCCTCGTAGGGTTTCCAAGGAGCAGCTGCTGGATTCGAACTGCCGTTCTTTTGGTTAGCAGCTGAGCTCTTAACCACTGCGTCACCAGGGTTAGAGCTGACAGGGCATAAGTGTTACCTGAAACCATACCAGATAACACAACATAATTAGGTATAAACTGCCTTAAAATTATAAAGCCTAAAGTATCATTCTGCAGGTCACCTAATAAACCAGTAAAACCAATACTGACTCTTCATTAAGCCTCCCCACTGGGCAGCTACTGTGTTTCACAGTGGAGCTTAGCTTCCCTGAACACGGCTGGAAGGTACCCTGGGCTTCGTGGAAGAAATCCCTTCAGAGTGTGTCCTCAATCATCATCAGAATTAAAAGTTGTCTCAAAATCTCTTGTGTAGAGCATTTAGGACCAAACTGTGCCATATGCTCTTATGCTACCCCTTGGTTCTCCTCCAAAATAAACCCGGGAGAAAACCAAACGCACTGCCGTCGAGTCGATTCCGACTCACAGTGACCCTACGGGACAGAGTAAAACTGCCTCATAGGGTTTCCAAAGAGCAGGCTGGTGGATTCGAACTGCTGACCTTTTGGTTAGCAGGGGAGCTCTTAACCACTGCGCCACCAGGGCTAGAGGACCTGCTAAAGTAGATATTACATATGTGGTGATATGTCCTTTTCAAGGTCTAAGGCTTCAATCTTTTACCCACACCAGCCAGCCCCACAACCAGATGAAGATGGGTTCCTGTAACAGCACAAAGAACTGAATTATTGCTATAAAATTTTCTTTTCTCCACCACATTTTAATTTTAGGATATTCCAGGAAGAGGACATAAGTATCGCCTTAAATTTTCTGTGGAAGAAATTATCCAAAAAGTAAGTGAAACATCCTTTAGTAGTAAATAAAATCTGATTGTAAATATTCCAGATTATTTTAGCTGATCAAATCATAGGATTAGTGAAATACCTGTCTCTAATAAAATACTGTCCAAATGGGTAAGGCATACAAGGGTCAGTTTTTACTACCTTTGTGTCTTCCAAGATCCATGAATTATTTCTATTGCGCTATTTAGAAAACAGACTCTACACTTCAGTTCAATTACACTCCCTTTAAGAAGATGACATACTCACGGGGCAGTCTGAACTTATGCCCCATATGAACAAGTGAAGTAATTTACTCTTCAATCACGATCACTTTCATGTATCTGCATTTCTCCTTCTGCTTTTCATTGAGTATTTAAAAAAGCATGTGCTTTCAGATGTTCGTGAGCAACAGGATGGCCGACTGGTACCACTGTTCAGTAGTAGGGCTGGAAACATTTTTAAATTATGCATCTGTCAAATTATTAATGAGACAAATTTAAGAGGAAGGAACTGCAATTTGTACCATAACCTTGAAATTAAAAAAAAAGCTTGCCCTTTGTTGAGCATAATTCAGAAGACAGAGGGCTAACCTAAGGGGATTCGTTAAAAGGCCCTGGGGCTGTTAGGGCAGACACCTTCGCAAGGCGTAACTCCATGCTGCAGTCTTACACTCTGACATCGAGATGCGGACTGCTGTATCGGGGTTGAGAAGATTTCTGTACTGTTGGGAGCAGGAGTAAGACTAATGGAAAGGCTTAAAAAGTAACCAACATCTGGAGCAGGGAGATGTAAACAGACTAACGTGGTCTCGCAAATGGACACCCCGTTAATACTGAGATATAGTCAAAGTTATAAGGTGGATTTACAAGGTTGTGAGACTTTTTAAGTTTGTTTTTGAGGATACTCAAATGATCTCTGGAAATTTACTAGGTTGGCTCCAATCAGACACCTGGAAAAAGTCAGGTCTGAAGCAACATCAGGGGCCAGTGCTTTGAATCTTCTATCTCAAAGAACAATCATCTAGATTAAGGATCTTTGTAAAAATGTTTCAAACAGCAAATTACAGTGAACTGCACGGCTGAAGTACTCTACCCTCCAGTGGGACAAGATACTGCACCAGAAGTCAACTTTACGTTTGAAGGAGAAATTGGGAAGAACCCGGATGAAGAAGATAACGCCTTTTATCAAAGGCTCAAGGCCACGAAGGAACCACTAGTAGCGCAGAATATTCCAGGTATATACACACGACGTGAGAAAAGGTTTGGTTTTTTTTTTTCTCCAACTTTTAAGATCTCAACGATCTAAGCTCAGAATTGTTAGATATGATGTTGGAAAGACACTGCCTTTTGCAAAAATATTCATTAGCAATCCAACAACAAAAAAAAAAAGAGGCTTTGGGACTTTCTAGATTCATGCCTTAATTAAGTTTTTTTTCTGCACATACTTGAAGGAAACTAGGACATACTTAGAATTTAGATTTTTTTAAGGTTAATACTGAATATAAAAAATAATTATTTAACATCAATATGTATGCTTCCCTTACCAGATAGTTTTGGAAATGTACCTCCAGAAATGAAGCCAGTTCGACATTTAGCCTGGGTTGCCTGTGGTTATATAATATGGCAGAATTCTACTGAAAATACATGGTATAAAATGGTAAAAATTCAAACTGTCAAGCAAGTGGTAAGTAATTTCTATAAGATACACTACTAACAGGGTTAATATTTACTGAGAGTGTTATAATCGACATAGTGCCCCATTAGTCACCTTGTGTCTGAAATCGTGAACCTGGCATTTTAAAGAAGAGGTCAGCTACTGTCAGGCCCAGAGAAGGTGAATGGCTGTGGGAAGACGCCAAGGCAATGGCAGCTGGTCCAGAAGTCACCTGGTTTGGCTGAGATGCAACAAAAGGCCTCGTTTGCCTCAAACCTACCTTCCTAATCCCTGGCCGGGCTGGCTGGCATTCCCTGGGCACACAATGACCACACAGCAGAACGGTGGCAAGGCAAAGCCGAGGATGTCCATGCAACACTTTTGACTAATTAGTAGTCTGCAGACTGCACTGTCTAATGGCACAGTAGTAATACTACTTCTTAACTTTTCATGCTCGGCAAGTTAGATTTGACTAGGATGCTTCGCTCAGGCCCTCGCTAGAGGAAAAAGGCTTGGAGAGTTCGTTAGGAGCTGAGATAGGACGGAGACTCCTAGGTCCCCTTACATGCTTCTAATGATTGGCCCGCCTCTGATCGGCTCTACAAAGGTAACGAGGGCCACTTTGTACGGCAGTCACAAAAGAAGCTGGTTATTAGATACTAATTTAGATTGTATTTCTTGGGTTTTTGTTCCTTTTTGCCTTTTCTTGTAGTTTCAACAGAGTAAAGTCTTGAGTTACAAATCATGTGGCATTTGGTTTCTGTGCCCTGCTCAGTGCAGATCACTTCCTTTACAACCTGAGTTTTGTGTTCACTGCTGTGACTCTGCTTTACTCCTCAATGAAACGAGATCCCACGGTGACTCAGGGACGGGGGGCTGGCGTTTCCCCCAGCTATCAGTGTGAACAAAAATAGCAGCATCTCAATCTCTGTGAAGCTTGCTATGTCTCCAAAATAGTTCTACTACTCTTTCCTTAGCTTGCTGTATGCAGTTTTCTTTTTGTAACTCATTTAATCATCATTTACAACCTTATATCTTAGTCATTCCTAGCTTTGTATTTTCTTCAGTCTGATAGGATGACTACTCAGAACTGCTTCTCTTATACCTTTAAAGAGATAAGAATCAACTCTTTGATTCTCGCTTTGTTAAGAGGTAGAAAAGAAGGAAAACGAACATTCCAACTAGTATCTAATGGAAATCAAGAAAAATGGAGTGCAGGGAAACCACTCTCTGCCAGCTTCTTAACAGAAAAGGACCTCCCAGCTGACACGTTTCAGCCTGCTGGCCACACACTGCCAGTGCAGCGGGGCGCCTCTTCTCCACAGGCTTTGGCAACCAGAGTTGGTCCCTACAGGCCACGGGAGGGCGGGATGTCTGCTTAACGGCGCTCGGAGTGATGCCAGATACCTACCATAAATATTACCACAGCTTTCTGAGAAATGCCAGGGCCTTTTTCCTAATACATTTGCATATAACACTGTAACATTCCTGTAGGGGAGGGAAAAGTGGGGTGTTACTATTTAAGGGGTTCTAAGTTTCTGTTTTTGGGGCCCTGGTGACACCACGTTCAAGAGCTCGGCTGCTAACCAAAAGGTCAGCAGTCTGAATCGACCAGCCACCCCTTGGAAACTCTATGGGGCAGTTCTACTCTGTCTGGTCTGGGTTTGTTTTTTTTTTGCGGAGGGGAGGTGGGGGCTATAGGGGTACTGATACCTCAACTAACTGAGTAACTGGTCTAGGTAACAGAGGCCATAAAACCATAATCAAGATTTTCAACCCATGTTTTTACCAAAGTACGCCCATGACAGTGCTAGTAGTTTTATGAAAGAAAGTCCTGTAACCCTTGGCCAAACTGTAGTTTCAAGGCACTAATGGACATCCCAACAGAAGGATTTAACTGGTCTCCACTGGCTTCTGTCAGTGGGAAACAAATCACTGCTTCAGGCCATATATATTACAAATCTTTACCTGGTATTAAGACCCAACATGTAAGAAACCTTACTGATTTTTATATCATCTTAAAGGACATTCTTTGTTGATACATTCAAAGAAAAGATTATTTCTCCTTATAAGGAGAGAAAAGTATACTGTAAAACAGTACTTTATCTGACTCTGGGGCTACATTTATAATCACTGTTGACCAGAAGAGCCCCAGGAGCTTGGACTGCCCCTCGGAGTCTAGGATTGTTTCAACATATTGATTACAAACCTTAAAAAGCCTTGTGTAAGCACAGCAAAGCTCTGATAATCCTGGTTTTAAACTATGCAGGTGCGGTATTTCTGTGTACCTGATGTATAAATACTTTTTACTTCCAAAGCAATAAGCAATACGGATAAGGCTTTAATTTAATTACATTATCAGATAACCACATTTACCACCTCTTACTATTTTCAGTTTTCTGAAGACAGTTTCTATCATAAAATGTGTTTCCTTTAACACTTATTTCAGTAGTTTGTCCCTCGTGCGCTGCTGTTCTGAACAGTGGGAACACCAGGAGTTCTTAAATGGGAGACTACACCGCAGTGTTCCTAGGCAGCCACCCCAACAACTTAGAAACAGAAACCAAAGGGGAAAATACAATCTTCAAAGCAGCAAGTGAAACAGGGTGCTTTTAAGGTTAATTTGTGAGAATGCTTATTTAGTATAGGAGAGCAGTTTTCTCTCTCAGGCTAAATTAAAAGATGACATTTGATTTTTGTTTTTACCTAAATGGAAGTATTATAATCATCTACTAATGAAAGCGGATTTAAAAAATTAGAACGTCATTTTTGCCACTGACGTTACGTTTCAGACACCAGGTTTCTATTTTTGTCACAGCAAAGAAATGACGACTTTATTGAGTTCGACTACACCGTTCTACTCCATGACATCGCGTCTCAGGTAAAGTATCATCTGTCTTTACTTGATGCTGCTCTGAAAGCGAGGCAAGTTTACAGCCACAGGATGCTGTATTAACTCGACTTTAAATCACAGTTCGTGTCAATTCAGACAGGCACTAGGCGAAAGTATTTACACTTGTAGCAGTTTAACCTGTTTTGTGCTTCTCTTTATGAGGACTGTCTGCCTCTAGCAAAATACAAACCCAGCTGTATATTCGTAAATGTTTTCTGAATTTTATCACGGCGTTAGTTCTCTCTACTTGCAGGAGATCATTCCCTGGCAGATGCAAGTTCTCTGGCACCCACAATACGGTACCAAAGTAAAACATAACAGCCGTCTGCCGGAAGAGGCACAACTGGACTAAACCAAGACCCTAACGCCGGGACGGCGCGCACACATGCTGCTTAACGATGTCTACGCAAGTCTTCGTTTGTATCCAGTTTAAGGAGCTAACCTAATTCAATCCACAAGTGTCGCTCCATATCAGTGTCTCGATTACAATACTGAACTACAGAGATTCCATAATGAAAACAATCGCTGTGTAAAGACCCCTTAATAATAGTACAGTCCTATACATACTCCACAGTACAGCTTCCATCCCAGCCTCGTAATCTGTTTAATTACATTGCATACTCACGGGACAGGGGCCGTGATGGTCTCTCTGAAGGCAACCTTGGGCTTTCCCGTGACACACGGGCAGCCATATTCTCTTTCCATTCTCTAAAAAAGGGGGTGAAGAGGGAAATAGAGGAAGGTCAGCCAGTTTTCCCCACAAAGATACACAATAAAAGTTTAATTTTTATTGCCTTACTAAGGCAGAATTGGAGCCCTGGTGGTGTAGTGGTTAAGCATTTGGCTGTTAACCAAAGGGTCAGCAGTTCAAATCCACCAGCCGCTCCTTGCAAACCTTGTGGGGCAGTTCTACTCTGTCCTGTAGGGTTGCTATGAGTAGGAATCGCCTCGACAGCAATGGGTTTGGTTTTTTGTTAAGACAGAATTTGCTAATTCTTATATATGCTGAACTGACATGTACCAGGAGTTAAACAATCCTTTCTTCACAAGCAGGATAAATTAATGCTACAATTTTTTGATACATTTAAATTTAAAAAAACTGAAAAAAAAGAAAAGAAAAAATCCTAAGCATCTTCAATACCTTAGGAGCATTCATTTAAATAGATAAGCACACTATAAATCTTAACTCATTTAAGCATCTTATAAGGGTTAGACACATGATAAAATTAAACAATGCAAACTGCATTTACAGATTTTTATACAAACATTTTCTAATTTGGGCTGATTCATTTACACTTCCCTCCACTTAACCTGTCCACTGAAGCTTTACCACTGTTCCATTATTATTACATATTCACTGGGATAACGTGAATCTGCTGTCAGAGCTTTTTTTTACTGTCTCAACTTCAAAGATACGATCATAACAGTCTTTTTTAATAAGTCATACGCCTTTATGTTTTTATTCAGATTCATACGCCAAGAAAGTATAGGCCCCATCCACTCTCTACATTATAACGCTTTTTGGGTGCTGGCATGAGAGGGGGCAACAGGCAAGAAGCAGCCTGGAGAGCGGGGGATGGGGGCACCCCCCTCAGGAGAGTGGGGGATGTGGGCACCCCCCTCAGGAGAGCGGGGGATGGGGGCACCCCCCTCAGGAGAGCCGGGGATGGGGGCACCCCACCTCAGGAGAGCGGGGGATGGGGGCACCCCCCTCAGGAGAGCGGGGGATGGGGGCACCCCCCCTCAGCAGGTCTCTCTGTAGGTTTCTCCCTGAGGCTGGGACTGGGGACAGACGGCTGGTCCTGCTGCACGTCTCCTAAGCCTTGATTCTACAAGTCCTCAATGTCTTACAGATAAAAAGAGGTTTAGAGATCAGAACTAATTTATAACACGTAGTGGAGAAGGCTGTATACCATAAACAAACCAGAGTGAGGCCGGGAAGAACCACCACTGGTCTGGGGTCCTAAAACAGAACTGATGCTGACTCTTAACAACACAGTAATAAATGATTCAATCTGGCTTCCTCGCTGGTGGTTACCTGTGCGTAGATTTCCAGGTGTAGTTCCCCCATTCCAGACACAATTGTCTCTTTGCTCTCAGGGTCAAAGTGGACTCTAAACGTGGGATCTTCTCGTGTAAATCTGCCAATAGCTTTTGAAAATTTTTCTAGATCATTCTTTAAAAAAAAAGAAGAAAATCATAAACATTTTATTAAGCATGATAAGCAATTAAATTTTTTAAAGAACCTTACGGAGTTAAAGTGAAATAACCAGCAGGTAAAAAGTAAAAACAATCCACACCCGGTTCCTAGTTCATACCCTTCCGCTTCGTATGTGAACCTGGACACCACAGAGCCAAGAGAACAGGAAATATTTAGCTAATAACAACTTCTTTCCATGCCAGGATAGGCACCAGGGGATCAAGGCTGACCTCTACGCCCTTTTCCTATCACACTGACAAAAACTGCTCATTTGTGGTTGGAAATAAAGTGGAAAGTCGAATGTGAGTAACATTTTAGAAATCTTACACATAAACATAACCAAAGGGGGACTGGTGTGGTTACCAGGACTCGGCTGTAGATTCAAGCAGGATGGTTAAGACCAGCAGTAAGGCAAATGCCACGTCGAGACTTCTCCTTGGCAAGACCATCTGCCTGGAGGTGACAGGATGCATCTGCATAATACTTAATGCAGCTCCAGATGTGGCCCTCCAAAGCAGAGGCTGTCAGGGGTGGAGCTGTGTTCCCCCAAAAGATACGCTGAAGCCCTAACACTCGGGACCTGTGAATGTGACCTTGTTTGGAAACGGGCTTCGCCGATGTAATCAGTTAACACGAGGTGATAAGGGAGTAGGGTGGGCCCTAATCCAATATGACCGGTGTTCTTATAAAAAGAGACACATGAACAGAAAGGCAAGAGCCGTTTGAAGACAGAGGCGGAGACTGGAGTGATGCTGTCACACACCAGGAACACCTGGCACTCCCCGAAGCCGGGCGGGACAAGGAAGGATCTTCCCCTAGAGCATCCAACACCCTGAATTTGGACTACTAGCCTCCAGCATTGTGAGACAATAAATTTCTGCTGTTTTAAGCCACCTAGTTGCAGCAATTTGTTACAACAGCCTTAACAAACCAATGCCGGACACATTTAATGTTTTTAATGTATAAATAACCCCAAGATAACAAAACACGTTCAGGATACTGATGCATTTGACTCCCCTCCGTCACTGTGAACTACCAACAGCTAATGTACCACACAAACTCTAGATTTAGGAATGACTAATAACTAACTTCTAATCCTGCGTATTTCTGAGGGGAAAAAGCTAGCAATTTAGGAGAGCACTCGGACAGTTGCACTCCGGCATCTTACTGAGGTGAGTGTGAGGCTCACCTCCCTCAGATCTGAGAAGACGGAGTGATGTAAGATTTCTTGCCATCTTAACATTTCTACTCTATAAAAAGGAAAGGTCTGGAAAATCTCAAGATTCTTCAAAATTGATTACGTAGTAGCTGTTAGTAATGAATCCCAGATGACAATAAATCAGAATGCGTTTTGAAATGATAGTTCCCAGATGACAAATGGTCATAAAGTGTTCACGCAATGTACCTAGGAACCAATTTCAATACATCACGTTAGCACAACTGGTATGAATGTCAACACAACTTAAGAACTAAACAATTATGGTTCAACAATAGGACTAATGCAAATGGCAAGTAATGTGAAGCAGAACCTATTCGAGGCCGTTCGGCTTTGTAAAAAGCTCATGACATCACACCCAATTACAAAATAATTATATCTTACAGTGAGAACAACAGCTTTGTTTACAGGCTTTCCACTTTATAATCAGACATTTACTTCATAATCGAGAGCTGCATCACGACCCGTGAGGCAATTAGTCCATGCAACATTCTACCACACTTCACACTGGGGCTTTACGGTAACTTGGGACAAACGTCCTGCTTCCTTTCTATCCCGTTATGATCTGAATCTAGAAGTTACAGGTACCACTCTGATACAGTAAAGAAGTAAAAAGCACAGCCTGGTGAATATTTTAATGCCATTAATTTCTTCAAATACACTGAGGAGTTATTAGTAGGTACAGACGGGTATATTTAAAACGGTGGCCTCCGTACCAACTGAGGAAACGGAGAACTAAGATAGCTGGGTATCAGAAGGTACCACGTGCATCGTGGAGGCAGAGGACAAACAGCCCAGGTATTTCCTGTGATGTACGGAGCTACAGATCAAACTCCTACCTTGTTAGAAGGCTTCATTGCTATTGAAATGACAGGATCAGGAACATGAATTGACTCCTAAAATATTTTTTAAAAGAAGAGAGAAGAATTCAAATACAATACTGTATGGGTCAGGGATGGATTATTTTTGGTGTGCTACTGTAAACAGAACAAAGGACAAACACAAGCCAACGTCTTTAGGCTGGATAGTATCTTGGTCTGTTTTGCATTAAATACACAGGGGTCTACTTATATGATTCTCCTCTCCCCGCCCCCCCACAAAAAAGCCCAAAATAATTTACCTATTTGTTCACTTTTTAAGGCCTTTAAGTTTATTGATACTGTCAGTTTAACAGAATCACTATAATGAATCCAGACGCTAAGACATGCAGTTCTTATTGGCTAAAGGTTCCATGAGCTGCCGCAATCATGTGAGAAGTTGCTTCATTTAATCAGAATATACCATGATCACCGACGAGGTAAACAGAGAAAGGGCACTAGATTCTTTATACACGTGCCACCTCAGTTAACCATCACAGCGCTGAGAGGCAGGTACTATCCTCCCCATTTTACAAAGAAGATACACTAGCTCGGCCAAGGGCCAGCAGTCAGCATTGGGCCGAGGTGAGACCAACCTGGGACTATTTGCTTCAAAGCCTGAGCGCTTCCCACAACTTCCAGGGCCTTCACACTGCCAATGCCCAGCATTCAGAGATGGCCTAATCAATGACACTTACAAAAACATTTTCCTTACCAAGATCCCTAACATAAATGGTGTCGATTTCTTTATGGGTTTTTTTGTACTGTCTTAAATGGACACGGAAAACCACAGATATTAAGAGATTATTTTATACAAAAAAACTAATTACAAAATTATGAATTCATCATCTGTTAGGGTTGGACCAGCTCTTATGCAAAAGCCCATTACAAATTCCTCCACCAGAAATGACCTCTCCCCCATGTGCTCACACCCTCTTTTCTGAACTCACCAGAGGGGCCACCCTCAGAACAAATGATCGTACTGCAGGGCTTTATTCTCCTAGAGGAGAAACTCAAAAGGGAAGTGGGTGAAGGGGATTCAAAGGCAGGAACTTCTTAAGCATGCTCCTCTCTCGGGATCCTTCAATGATGAAAAAGGGGCCTCTGATTTCCAGAGCGGAAAGAAAGGCCTGGCCATTTACTTCTGAAGATCACAGCTATTGAAAACCCTGTGGAGCACAGGTCTACTCAGAAGCACGTGAGTTGGAGATGACTTGATGGCAACTGGTTTGATTTGTTCTGGTTTTCCAGAGGGCAGGCAGTATGCAGTAAGTCAGACTGCCCAGCTGCATCTTGCCTTCTGAGCGTGATTAGGTTCTGTTATGCCCAAGTGTAGCCTAAACTTTACAGCCTGGTCTTACAGTTTTCTAGGAGTTGAGGGGAGGGCCCACTCTGACTGCTGAGGTAAGAAGGAGGCAGTACTCCTTCAGGACAAGCCTGGAGGTGGGGCAGCAATCTGAGACACCACAGTGGGGAGGCGGATCACGGGGTGGAGGAGTCAGGGATACATGGCCCAGAGTATCTCGGGAAGATCTCCCTCACACTAAACCTTGGAGGACTGTGGAATATTTTTCTAGGAAAAATCAGGCAAGTTAGTGTACACTCAAAGAGCCCCAGCTGGTCTGTATCTGATGTCTGTGGCACTCAATAAAAACTTCTGTGGTGGTTTTCTGAAAGTACTAAATGCACCACAAACAAAACCCAGACTTGAAGTTCAGATGGCGAACAGCTCTGAAAGCAAACGACTCACCATGGAAAGGCCGCTGGTGTCTCTGTTTGTAAACGTGTCCCCACTAGCGCAGTCGATGCCAAACAGCGCACAGATGTCTCCGGCGTACACTTCTTCAACATCCTGAAGAAAGGAAGAGCCCAAGAAACAAACTCGCAGGGGATACAAGTGAAGACACGGCAGCGGAATGTAACTACACAGTACACACATTTTACACAAGCAAACACGCAAGATCTCGCACGGTGAGTTCCACGAGAAGAACGAATTAAACAGAATCAACACACCAACCATCACCCGCGCCGAGACGTGTCTAAGAGGGTCCGTATTTAAACCACGCCTCAGGAGACAAGATTTTACTTTAAGTGAGGAACTCAGAGGATCTGTAATACAGACAAAACAGAGTCTCACGGTTCTTTCTGTGGATTAAAAAGCATGCACTATTTGTTACTACAGTCAGGAGCATGAGATGTGTATGACAGAGACATCCAAGGGAAAAATGCAAAGGAAGTTTTCAGAACAAAGGCAGGAGAACGGAGCTCGTTGTCCTTAGAATAATCTTCATTCTCCACAGATGCAAGCAGGCAAGGAAACACAGGAAACCCAAGAACAAAGCACTGCTGCCTCCAGGCGTCCTCGATGTTGTTCTTTAACACTGACGTTCATTCATCACAGCTGGGGCCGACAGCGGGCGGGGGTGCGTGTGCGCTCGCGTGTGTGCGTGTGCGCGTGCATGTGCGCGCCTTTAACGGCTGCACAGCTGTACATACCGAGCTTCTGGCTCATGAAACAGGTGACAATCACTACTCCCTCTACTCTGCCCCCTGCTGCCTATCCCACAAAACAGCAACGCTTACTGTCCGATTTTGAAAAACTTATTATTTATCTCCCAGGAGAGACAACAGCCACCAAAAATTTCTGAGTAAGATTTTGCTTAGACTGATACATTGCTCCTGGATACAGACCTGAATTAGGAAAGGTCGGAGTGGGGCAAGCACACTCCGTGTTCTACAAGGCCTAACCTGAAGGACCACGGGAGGTTAGGGCCGATTTATGGCTGATTCAAAATTTCAAGCCATAAGCCAAAATTTATCTCCCAGACCAGACCTGGAGGAGTTTTAAATCTCTAAATGGACTCTGGCACTAACGTAGCCTCTGGGGGTTCTACAAGGGGAATAAGAGCTCCAGGGATAAACAGAGCTTTCAGGCCTGCTGTATTTCAGATCGACTGAAAGTAGATTCACTACACAAGGTGGGAAATTATGTGTGAATTTATTACTCTCACTCACCTTTGAGAACCACGATTCCACTGTCCTAAACATCTACCACACTCTTTGTGATGACAGCTCTTGAGGAAAGTGCCAAATCTTGCGTTCTGAGTCTTCGGGGGTGCTCCTTCTCCCCAACCTTGGCACTTGAGGAAATCTAGCCAACTCACAAGCAGTGGACTAAAATACGCTCTTAACATCTGCTAATTTAGCCTATACTACAACGTAGATGGGAGCTGCTTCAGTGAGGAGAAACAGCAGCTAGGAGAACACGCAAGGTCAACTAGAAGGCATTTTCTAGTGGGGCTCAGACAGCCAGAAGGTAGGACTGTTTCAGTCTCAGGACGGGGCCCTGTACCTGCCTCCATCATGTCGGCGTGCATGCGAACCAGCCGCTGCACCCGCACCTTCTTTCTCGTCCTTGTGTTGTAGATGGCGTCACCTTTCCTCAACTCTCCCTGGTAATTCCGAACGTAAGTCAACTGCCCGAATCGACCTGCCTGCAAGTCAAGATTGGGCAATGGTGGGAAGAATAAAACACAAGAGTCAAAATGAGCAGGAAAACTTCGTAACTATCTCCAAATATCCCTCCCAATTTTAGCAGTCCACCTTATACATGTGTTTAATTCATAAACTACTTTTAGTACCAGTTGGGAATATCGGCGAGATAAATTAAAGATGTCGACTCTATCTTTTTGGTATCACAATCCAAGATACTCCTGCTGCCTCTGAAATAAAAGCTCTTAGAAAAATTTTTAAGAATTATTTATACAGTAACGATCTATGTTTTTACTTTCAGATATTACTTCATAAGTTCAATTTAATACAACAAGACATAAAACAAAAATTAGGTATAATTATTGGAATCCACACCCACTGCTGATGAGTCGATTCTAACTCATAGTGACCCTACAGGACAGAGTAGAACTGCCCCATAGGGTTTCCAGGGAGCGGTTTGTGGATTCAAACTGCTGACCTTTTGATTAGCAGCTGAGCTCTTAACCACTGCATCACCAGGGCTCCAATTGTTGGAAAGACAAGAAAAATATTGTTTGAAAAATGGTAAGACTGTACTATAAATTAAAAACAATCTTTGGTAACTGCTTGGAAAACTAAGTAAGAGTTCTAAAAAGTGATTCAATATAAAATGAGTAATCAAGGATCAATCTTCCTAAATCCCAATGCTAGCCAATTAGATATATTTTTTTAAAGATGCCAATTCTTCTCATATTAATTTACAGGTTTAACATAACAGCAATCAAAATCCCAACAGGAATTTTTAACACTAGTGACTTTAAAATTCATTTAGAAGAGTAAATAGATAAAAATAGAAATTACTGAAAAACTACGGTAATGAAAGAAGCCAACCGAACTGATACAAAAACACTAAATGTTCCAAAATTTAAAAAGCACAGAACGAACACAAAATAGATTGAACGGCCCAGAGAGTACCTTATGAATATCTACAATGCAGAATACATTTGTCAATAAATAATAAAGGAGGTATCACAAACCAATGGAAAAGTATAGGACTGTCTAAAAACTAACAACTGGGCAACTGATTTTCTACTTGGAGGCAGAAGGAGTAAATTTAGATCCTACTTCACAGCATACCCTAACATAAATTCCAGTTGGGTTAATGATTAAAACAGAAAAACCCAACAGAAAAATTAGGAGAAACAAAAGTATTTACTAAGAATACAGAAAGAAGAGGATTTCTATTGCCAAAAATCAGAGAATGACTAAAGACAAAAACCAACATACTTGACTATAAAATTTTAAACTGCTGATTGTTTAAAAACTATTAGAGAAAGCCTGTGCAAACAAATAAGTAACACCCTTTGACAGAAAGAAATTAAAAAGCAAAAGAAATAAAGAGACAATTACGAAAGAAGAAACAACACATGGAACATGTTCTCTGTCATTAGGAATTAAGATGAAATATTACTTTTCATTTATTAAATCAGTAATTATTTTTAAATGATGATTCCCAATGCTGATAAACATTCATTGAAATAATCTAATATATTAACTCTGAGACTATGAAAGCGATTTGGTGATATAAACCATTAGATGTTAAAACATTCCATGCTTTTAACTCAGTAGTCACTACTCTGGGAATTTATCCTAAGAAAATATTCTCAAATACATATTTTTTAAAGTTTTAAGCATAAAAATTTTCACTGCATTGTTACTTATAATTTTTAACTTAAAAATCCTTTTTAATCATTATAAAGGTAATAAGAAGCATATTGTAAAAGAAATTTTTTAAAGGAGGAAAAAGACCAAAAAATACAATCCCGCCCCAGAAATAACCACTCTTAACACCTCCAACTTTTCCACCTTTCTTCACACTTAAAATATCAGGAACAAAAGCAATAACATCCAGTAGCAGTAAGCATACTCAGCACCCAAATCTTGGTGTTTAATACCATTCTCCAATAAAAGAAACCATAAAAAATCCTATTACCACTGAGTCAATTTTTCTCATAGCAACCCTACAGGACACAGTAGAACTGCCCCTAGGGTTTCCTAGGCTGTAAACTTTACAGAAGCAGACTGCCACATCTTTCTCCTATGGAGCGGATGGCAGACTCAAACAGCCGCCCTTCTGGTTAGCAGCTGAGCACTTAACCACTACGCCACCAGGGCTCCTTAAAGAAATGGCTGATTCTAGGGCTGGGGCAGGGAATAGACAGGTGAGTCCAGAGCATCCTGTTGGAATCACATCAAAGGGGCTCAGAAGCCAACTAAAAGAGCTGCTAATGGCCAAACCCGGCCAATCTGAGCAACAGAATAAGTAACATAATACTGGTCTAGAACCCAAAATATAAAATAAAGATCCATGAGTCCACACTCATATAAATAACTGAGTAAATACATAAATGAGGAAGAAAAGATAAATCTACCATACAGAAGAATTCTAAATACTTTATGTAGATATTATTCCCTCAAGGAGGTGGAGCATAACTCCTACCCCTGAAGTGTGGGCTGCACACAGTGACTTCGTTCCAAAGAGAACAGTACGACAAGGAGGAAAAAGTAACTTTACAGTGGGGACACCCGAGAAAGACAACCTCAGTCAGGCGTCAAGGTTCATATCAACAGCGGTAAGTCATGTTGACAGTCTGTACCCTTGATATGATACAACGAAAATGGCACGTCACCTCTGTGGTTTCCTCCCTGAAACACACACCCAGTCCAATTATGAGAAGGAGTCCCTGAGTGATGCAAATGGTTAACATGCTCAACTGCTAACCAAAAGGTTAGAGGTTCCAGTCCATGCAGAGGTGCCTCAGAAGAAAGGCCTGGTGATCTACGTCCAAAAAAATCAGTCACTGAAAACCCTATGGAGCACAGCTCTGCTCTGACACACATGGGGGTGCCACGAGCCAGAATCGACTCAACAGAAACTGGTGCTGGTAATCACAGGAAAACATCAAACTCCAACTGACCAGGACCCCTCAAAACTGTCACAACCTAGAGGACGCTAAGGAGACAGGAGGACTAAATATAATGTGGTACCCTGAATGAGATCCGGAGACAGAAAAAAAATCAGTGAAAACTAAGGAAACTCAAATCAAGTATGGACTTTATTAATTAATAATATATCAATACTGGTTCATTAGTATAACATATGTTAACAATAGAGGAAACTGGGTGTTAAAGAGTGTACAGAAACTCTCTATGCTATTTTTACAACTTTTCAGTAAATCTACAACAAAAAGTTTATTTAAAAAAAAAAATCACAAACATATTTCCACATCAAAAAGTTATCTCAGCAAAGGGCCTCAAATAGTCAAAATAATCTTGGAAAAGAACAAAGTAGGAGAACTCCTGATTTTGAAATCCTGATTTCAAACATACTACAAAGCTATTATAATCAAAACAGTGTGTACCAGTACGAGGAGAGACATATACACTAATGGAATAGAATTGAGAACCCAGAAATAAACTCATACATCTATGGCCAACTAATTTTTGACAAGGGTGCTAACTCCATTCAGTGGGGAAAGAAGAGTCTATTCAACATATGGTGCTGGGACAACTGAATTTCCACATGCTGAAGAATGAAGTTGAATCCCTATCTCACATCATATATGAAAATTACATCAAAATGAATCAACGACCTAAATATAAGAGCTAAACTACAGAAGAAAACATAGGAGTAAAACTCCACAACAGTGTACTTGGCAATGGATTCTTAGATATGACACCAAAAGCACAAGCAACAAAAGAAAAAACAGATAAACTGGACTTCACCAAATAAAAAAAAACTTCTGTGCATCAAAAGACATTATGAAGAAAGTGACATAAAATGGGAGAAAATATCTGGAAACCTTGTATTCGATTTTTAAAAAAGCCATTGCCATCAATTCCGACTCACAGCAACCCTGGAGGACAGAGCAGAACTGCCCCAGAGGGTTTCTGAGGTTGCTGTCTTCATGGAAGCAGACGGCCATATCTTTCTCCCACTGAGCCACCAGTGTGTCTGTACCGCCGACCTCTCAATTAGCAGCCGAGTGCCTAACGACTATACCACAAGGGCTCCTATCAATCTGATAAGGGCTTAATATCCAGAATATATAAAGAACTCCTACAACTCACAAGACAAACCACCTAACCAAAAAACGAGCAAAGGACTTGAATAGATATTTCTTTAAAGAAGATATACAAGGGCCAATGACCACACGAGAAAATGCTAAACATCATTAGTCATTGGAGAAATGCAAACCAATACCACAATGAGATACCAATTCACACCAAGTAGGATGGCTCTTACCAAAACAAAACAAAACTAACAAGTGTTGGTGTGAATGTGGAGAATTTGGAACCCTCATCCATTGTTGATGGGAAGGGAAAATGGTGCAGCCACTGTGGAGAACAGTTTGGCAGTGGCTCAGAAAGTTAAACCTAGAATTACCTATGACACGGCAATTCCACTCGTGGGCGTAGACCCAAAAGCACTGAAGGCATTTACTTGTACAGCAATGTTCACTGCAGCACTTTCTCCACAGCCCAAAGGTGGAAACAACCCAAAGGTTCATCAACAGATGAGTGGATAAACAAAATGTGGCATATACACATACAATGGATTATACTATTCAGCCATAAAGAAAAATGAAGTTCTGATACACGCTTACAACATAGATGAACCTTGAACTCCGGATGCCGAGTGACATCAGTCAGACATAAAAGGACAAGTACTGTGTGAGTCCACTTACATGAAATACCTAGAACAGGTAAGTGCATACTGACCAAAGTAGCATTTACTGGGGCAGTGGGAAGGTGGGAATGTGGAGGTATTGCTCTGTGGGTCCTGAGTTTGTTTGGGGCAACAGACAAGTTTTGTGAACAGACAGTGGCGACGGTCGCACGACATTATAGATGAATTAATGTCACTGAATTGTACACTTAAAACCGGATAAAAATGGCAAACGTACGTTATGTATCTTTCAACACAACAAAAAATATTTTTTAAAGTGATTTCAACATAGTTTTAAAAGTCTGAATAATATTCCACTGTAAGAATGTACCTCAATGTATTTAATCAAACTAATTCATGGGCGTTGTCAACTGTGTGTGAGATTTCACTTTTAGCAGCAGAGACGAGAAGAGCAAACTGAAGCTGGCCTTACATTAGTTCCTTAAGACACATTTCTAGAAGTGGACTTGAGGTTATTTATAATGGTGATACTTGGAAACAATGTAAATGTCCAACAATTAGGAAAATTTTAGGTGAATCATGACATATCTACTTGATGGAATATTATGATGTCAATGAAACTGGTTAGGCTATTTATAAAAACATGGACCGTATCTACTGTGATGTTACATGAAAACGGCAAGGCAAAACCACACATAGTATGATCTATATAAATATTACACGTGTACTATGATTTATGTAAATATTACACGCGTACTATGATTTATGTAAATATTACACGCGTACTATGATTTATATAAATATTACACGCGTACTATGATTTATATAAATATTACACGCGTACTATGATTTATGTAAATATTACACGTGTACTATGATTTATGTAAATATTACACGTGTACTATGACTTATGTAAATATCACACGTGTACTATG